GGTAGATAGATGAAAAAAAAGATACGGTGTTTTCATGACATGCTAAAGACAATTTGGAAAGACATGTAACTGCTTTGATGACCAGTTTCTGAATTCATGTATCAGGATCACATGCTAGTGTCTCAGGCCATATTTTTAAGCACATGCTGAGGTTCCAACCCAGTCCTCATGATTACAACGTAAGCATCTCCTCTACTGAGCCGTCTCCCAGACGCAGGGTATCTCCCCTAAAGCCAGAACCAGGAGGCTGAAGCTACCAAGTTTTCCCTGCTTACTCGGGCTGGAACATGCCACCCTCCTTTAAAATTACATCTTCATCAACTTTCTGTCTTTCACTGCCCAAGCTTGGCTGTCCTGAAACGTGCTCTGTAGACCAGGTTGGCCTCAAACTCACAGATCTGCCTGCCTCTGCCTTCCCCGTGCTGGAATTAAAGGTGAGCCCTGCCACACCTACCTCTAAGATTTTCTTTAGTTCCTTTTCACAACTTGGAAACTTATTTGGGTGGGATCTTGCCCTGAGGTTACCACTCCCTTTATTCCATTTCTTATGTTTTGATGTGCAGTTTTTATTAACTTACATTTTACATTCCAATCTCAATTCTCCTTCCTTTTATTCCATTTCTTAATCAGTTTATTTCCTTGAACGTAGGACTTAGCTTCCGTTCTACTTCCTAGTACTCCTTTTCTCCTCAAAGTTTACAGTTTCAATGTGCGCTGCTCAGTTGGTTCCTTTTCATTATAAGTCTCCGGTATAGTTACCAGAGTATTTTCTAAGCCGTTTAATATTTCTCCTGCCAGCCGGGCGGTGGTGGCACACGCCTTTAATCCCAGCACTCGGGAGGCAGAGGCTGGCTGAAAAATCTATTTTATTTCTCCCTCCCAGGGAGATCCATGTGTCACTCCTAGATTCCTCCTCTTTTCCTAGCATCTCTGTGTATGAATTGTAGCTTGGTTATTGTTTACTTAAAGGCTAATATCCACTTATAAGGGAGTGTGCATTTGTCATTTTGTGTCTGAGTTACTTCAGTCATGATTATTTTCTAGTTCCATCCATTTTCTTGCAAATTTCTTGATGTCATTTTTAACAGTTGTGTAATATACCATTATGTAAATGTACCACATTTTCTGTATCTACTCTTCTGTTGAAAGAGAACTAGGTTGTCTCCAGTTTCTGGCTTTTATAATTAAAGCCACAATGAACATTACTGAGCAAGTATTTTGTCAGATGGATACTCTTGTGAGTATATGGCCCAGAGCAGGATACTTGAATCTTGTCATAAATCGATTCCCAACTTCCCAGAATCCCCCTCTTACAATCTTCCACATTCCCCAAATCATTTCTAATTCTCTCCTACTCCATGCCCACCGAGTTTTATTTTCTTTCTCCTTGCTAAGAACAATAAAAGCAAAGAAAAAGCAAGTGAGAAAAAGTCACTAGTATAATAGTCTAACCTCTGTTGGCCAACTATGCCTGATGTGAAGCCTGCCCTTGAGTGTGGTTAATATACAGTGTCACCTCATTGAGGAAAATTGATCTTTTTTTCCTAGCAGCTTTCAAGTATGAGTTGCTTCTTGGTTAGGGGTAGAAATTTCACACATTTTCATCAAAGGTAGAATGAAACTGCAAGAAGAAAGGAAGCAATGAATACACAGAAAGGGGAAAGAATGAATAAAGAAAAGAATTCTAACTTAATGAGGGATAAGTTTTGAGATCGTGTGGAAGTGATTAGATTTTTACCCAGCAGTACAGAACCTCCAATTCTTGTTAAATACTTCAAGTCTCAATTCTAATCACAGCAATATAGTCAGCCCCCGACCCATGTAAGTCTCAAGTTTACAATTATCCATGTGTTGACATGAAAATAATTCTCATCCGCATGCTCTCTGATGCCACAGTAGCAGGTGCTGAGCTGAAAGGCTGAGTCTGCCGTTTTAAGATGAGACTCTGAGCCCTGATTTATAGGTTTATTATTCCCTGGTCTCCTTTTACTAAAGGTTTGTCAACTCTGCTCTAGATCCATAACGTCATGTACACAGGGAGTTGAGAAAACTTTTAAATGACTTTCCACCAATTGCATGTCAGTGTATGGTGTTCACATCACTGGAGCAAATTCAATGAGTCAATTAGGAATAATTGGAAAGAAAACATCACTGTGAGCCCTCAGTGTTACAAGAGGGATGCAGATGGCACAGAGAGCTAACGCTAAGAAAATGAAGTTGGTTACATGACCTTGATGCATAGGGGACAAGCGAGAACTTTTTTTAATGCGCAGACATCCTTGGAGATTTTTTCAAACTCTGAAGAACAACTGAATTAATAGGCATGAAAAACAGGAGATGCAGTAGATAATCTTTGTCTCCCTTCTTTAAATTACATTTTCTAAAAGACAGATTAATTTTTGCTGTGAAGGTGTCATTCTATTTTTTACTAATCATACTGTAGTCCTTTCCATGTTTATAAAATATCGTATGGATAGTTATACGTGTAGCCTCTCATTCAGAGTTGTTTTGCTCTGAACTTCCTTATATGTGGAATGTAGAGCATACATCCATATGTTTGCTAGTACAAACTTCAGTACAGATTATGGTTACTGGGGTAATTTTTATTAATTCTTTGAGAATAGCATATATACATAAACTGTATTTGATCATGTTCACTGCCTCACCTTTACTCCTAAATCCTCTAGATTTATCCCTACATTTCTACCTCTCTCAATTTCATGCCCTCCGTATTTTATAACCGATTACATCCAATTTCTGCTCTCCATATACTCATTGATGTGTAAGGCCATCCACTGCACTTTATTGGATCTACTAAGAGCCATACCCTTAAGAAAAACTAATTCTCCCAGCCCAGAAGCCATGAACTGTCCATAGTTCCTCAGTTAGGGCTGGGCTCTCAGGAATGCCATCCTATGCTAGAATGTTGAGTAACCTGATCTTGTACAGGTCTCATGCAGGTCACCAAGTTGGGAGTTCATGAGTGCAGCGGTCCTGTCATAGACAATAGATACTGATCCCCCTTGAAGTCTTTCAATCCCTTTTTCTGTCACCTGAATCTTGCAATGAGGAGGGTGATACAGATGTCCCTTTTGGGACAGATCATTACAGAGTCACTTATTTTGGCACTTTTATCAGTGCAATAAACACCTTAACAATATAAAGAAACTCCTCTGATGGATTCTGAATGTTTAACTGATACAGGGACATAGATGTATGGATTTAGAATTTGACACTGTCCATTTAGAAATAGAATACCAGTCATCCCATTCATAAGACCTGTGAGTTCTTGGCCAGATTTGCAGCATCAGACACGTATTTCTTCTTGAGGAGCAAGCCCTGAATCCAACCAGAAATTGCTACCAGTGTATCTATGGGTATATCTTACGGTGTCAATCAAGGATTGTCTGTTGGGTTTTTCTATCAATTGTAATATATGAATTTATCACCTAGTGGTTAAGCATGCATTTTAAAATTGGGTAACATTTGCTATTTTGACCATGCAAATGTGGACTTTTATTAAATGATTGTTAAAATTAAAGTCTTATTTGGGGGTGTCAAGCTGACAATATGGACTTGTGAGGTTACTCTTGTCATCTCATTTGTTTTCATGTAATGATGCAACTGTTTTCTAGGGAACATGAACAAACTGATTATAATATTTGTAAAATGATCCTTTGGCAAAAAAATACATATGCTGGAAGTGTTCCAATCAAAGTTCTGAAGCAAATTAACAATCTCCTCTTATCAGAAACAAGACCATAATAGTTGCCAAAACTACACATGTGCAAAACTATTATCATGTCTGCTCCCAGGCACCTCCATAAAGAGGAGTTATCAGTGCAAACATGTCCAAGTCCAAGAGGGACACCACACACACTCAGTCCTAACAATCCCACAGAAACAACACCAAGCAATCTTGAATATCCCTTACTCCAAGGTCAGGAAGCATGTTTCTGACTAAATGTAATTCCACCGATTTTCCTGCAGGTCAAACACTAAGATCAAGGATGAAACCAAATCCCATACCCAGGTTGCAGGTCTACTGTCAAGCCAGTTCTGGCTCCCAGATGAGTCACCAAAATGATCCAAGTCTTCCATAAAAAAAAAAAAATCAGTGTAGAGTCTGTGCACTGATGATGTGCCTTGAATCTGCAAGGAACCAGTGTCTTTATGTGATGTTTGCAAAAGTAAATCTGAGGTTTAGGGGGAAAGTGCTGTCATGTATCCCGTGATATGGGAAACTTAAAATACCCCCCAAAATTGTAAGTAATAACATAGCTAGTCAGACAATTTGGCTGTAAGATTCAATTGAGTATATCAAAAATGTAATTAATAGAACACTAAGTAGGAATGAGGATAAGGCTCAGTTGGTAGAATGAATGCATACCATTCAAGCTCAGAGCTTCAACTGCAGTACCGTACAGGCTGACGTAATGGAACATCCCTGTAATCCCAGCCCTTAGGAGGGAGAAGGGCTCAATAGCTCCTAGATGAAGAGCTATTGACAGCTGATGGGTACTGGGAGGAGTCCATTTTCTTTAAGGTTGTGGCTTAAAGAAACTGATGGGTGACATATTTAAAATGCACATTATGCAAATGTTCTACTTGGGCTTCACACATATGACAAGAACCTTATGGGAAAATGTTGCCTTCCAGTACTTAGAATCAGTTATTCTACATGACAGAATACTGTTCCTAACACTTTAGTATGAGCAAAATCCTGTGTAACTTTGTTATTATACTCTGTCACATCTGTTCAAATAGATTTGGGCCTGGCATAGTCACACACGTCTTTAATCCCAGCAGCTAGGAAGCAGGAAGGCAGAGGTGGTGGATCTCTGTGAGTTCTAGGCCAGGCCAGTCTACATAGGAAGCTCCAGGATAGCCAGTACTACATAGAATGACCCTGTCTCAAAATGATGATGATGATGATAATAATAATAATAATAATAATGATAATAAGAAATAACAGCAAAATCACTGAGGGAAGATAAAAATATATGAACAGTCATTTTATTAGAGGTGTGCAAATGACAATTAAGCCAACAAAATGAGTGTTTTATTTCAGAATGCTTAAGGAAATGCAATGAAATACACAGTGAAATGCCACAATACACTAAGTAGAGTAAAATCTTAAAGGACATGCCATATCGTGTACATGCCTGGATGGAGAGCAACAGCCACTTTTACATATTGCTAGCGAGAATGCACTAGAGAACAGACACATCAGAGTTGGCATTACCTAAACTGTTCTGTAACTTTAGCGTTACAATCTATTAACACAAAGTGATTAAATCGCACAGCGGTGTGAAAACTGAAATGCTAACAGCAGCTTTAAGGTCACAAATAAACAGTTGTTCCATACAAAATATTGCTCAGCAACACCAGCAATGTTTCGTACAAGAATCACTGATGAGGGCCAGGCAGTGGTGGCACATGCCTTTAATTCCAGCACTTGGGAGACAGATGCAGGCGGATCTCTGTGAGTTCGAGACCAGCCTGGTCTACAAGAGCTAGTTCCAGGACAATCTCCAATGTCACAGAGAAACCCTGTCTCAAAAAAACAAAAACAAAAAACAAACAAAAGAATCACTGATGAACCTTGAATTATACAACACATCTACACATACACAAGCATACATTTTATGAGGACAGTAATTTAAAATTTCAAATGATGTAAACTAATCTGTTTAAGATAAATCAGGGCTTGAAGAGATGGCTCAGCAGTTAAGAGCACTAGGCATTCTTCCAGAGGACCTGGGTACAGTTGCCAGCAACCACATGGTAGCCCACAACCATCTGTAATGCCAGCCCCAGGAGAGCCTTCTGGCCTCCACAGGTACTAACCATGCAAGTGGTGTACAAACGTACATGCAGGAAAAACACACATACACATAAAATAAAGTTCAAATTAAAACAAAAAAAAAACATTGTTTGCCAGGTGACATAGGAAAGATAATAAAACAGCATGTCACAAATATATAGAAGACAAATACATTTGTTTTCATAACCGTAATGATTTCAAGACTTTACCAACTGGGCTTTTGTTTTTGAAGCTAGGGTTATGCTGTGTTGCCCTCATTGAGTCTCAAACTCCTGGCCCCATGGACTCCTCATTCCTCAGCCTTCCTAGAAACCGGAACTACATGCACAAGCCATAGTACCACGCCACGGACTTGGTTAAGTGTCACTTACACAAACAAACGAAGCCATAAAAAGTATCTCGAAATAATATACCTAGATGTCCCAATGTTCTCAAAAATTTCCCACAACCTAATGTGGATTCCACCATCGTTCTTCTCAGAACCCGAGAGAAGCCAATTTTGGTTAAGTAATAAAAGCTACTGCCTCATGAATCACACACAGGTCAGAATTACGCCCTACCCTAGAAAACCATCTTCCCCTTCTTGTTTTCCTGCCTGTACAGCTTTGGCCCAAGGCAGAGAAGAAAAAATATACAAATTCACAAAAACAGTCATAAAGGTCTTGAGGACATCCATGGATGAATTTTTAGTAGAAGCATGTTCCAGGGCCAGAGAGACGCCTCAGCAAGCAAAAGCACTTGCCAAAAGCCTGATGACCTGAAGTCAATCTCAGGAACCCACACGGTAGAACAGAATCATCTCAAAAAGCTGCCCTCTGACCGTCACACATGTGTCATGGTGCATGTGCACCAACACACATACAAGCACAGTGGAGAAAATGTGAGATGATTTCTATATCTATTAACTAAGTCCCTGCCTGAGTCATAAATTGCTGCCCTGCACACTAGTCAACACATTATAGCAAATAGCTCCAATGCAAGGCCCACAGAAGAGATTACCCTTAACAGTGCTAGGAATTACATGACGTCCCAGAGGAAATGTGAATATAATTGTTCACGTGGTTTACAGAAGCATCTGGGATTGCAATAACTCTCCTCTTCACCAGGACTTCTTAGATCACAAACATCATAGGAACACAAAACCTGACGGTCTTACCTGTGAGGGCAGGAGAGGCAGCCATGAAAATCAGACCAATACTCCATAGTTACTTCCTGCAGCTGTACTGTACCTTCCGGAACACAGAAATTGAGGCTATCTATGAAATTGGTCCACCCCGTCATGCTGACATCGTGGGTCAGTTGATAAGTCACACCACAGAACGAAGAGGACCTTCAAGATGAAAGACGCATAAACAAACTATCTTGCCAAAAACTTAAAACTAGAGATTCTATGCAGCAAGTATTTCCCCAGTAGGTGAACTCTAACCTGGAAATACTCATCACAAGCACAGTATGAAAACAAAACTTCCACCTGAACAAGGTACTCTTCCTTAGCAAACTCAAAAGCACAACTCAGACCACAACTTCCAAACACGATTCTTGCTCTAAAAGGGAATGAGGGGTCTCCAAGGCAAGGCCAGAGCAGAGCAGAACGTTTGCATGCAGGAGGGTCACTCATCCTCAGTGTCAATCTTCCAGGTGACAATGGCAACGGGGTTTCTACCATTGCCTTTGGCATAAATCAGGATATGATCTTGGGCACACCAGAAACTGAAATGAATCTCCTCATCATTTCCCACACATCTGAAATAACTCTCACTTTTAAAGCCTGTATCAATTATCTTTAAACTCAAGAGAGAGGGCTGCTGGTCTCCTCCAGTGTTACTACATTAACTCACTACACTGCACATTTCTTACACAATAAAGAAGTTTCTTAGGTGTGAACTCTCTGGTGTCGAACAAGATTAGATCGACGGCTAAAGGATTTCTCACAGTCACGGCACTCGTAAGGTCTTTCTCCGGTGTGAACCCTTTGGTGCTGAAGAAGGTCGGACTTGTGGGTGAAGACTTTGCCACACTGACTACATTCGTAAGGCTTTTCTCCACTATGGCTTCTCTGATGTTGAATGAGGCTGGCACTTTGGCTAAAGGACTTGCCACATTCACTACACTCGTAAGGCCTCTCGCCAGTGTGCAGCCGCTGGTGTTGAATAAGGCTGGCACTCTGACTAAAGGCTTTCCCGCACTCGACACACTCGTAAGGCTTCTCTCCAGTATGAACTCTCCGGTGCTGAATGAGGCTAGAGCACTGTCGAAAGGACTTCCCACATTCTTCGCACTCGTAAGGTCTTGTACCCGTATGAATTCTCTGGTGTTGGATGAGGTCAGACTTCCTGGTGAAGCAGGTGCCGCAGTCCTCACACTTGTAAGGCCTTTCCCCAGTGTGAACTCTCTGGTGTTGGATGAGGATGAACTTGCGACTAAAGGATTTCTCACATTCGCTGCATTTGTAAGGCCTATCACCGGTATGAACTCTCCGGTGCCGGATGAGGTTGGAAAACTGCCTGAAGAGTTTCCCACACTCGCTACACTCATACGGCCTTTCCCCGCTGTGGATTCGCTCGTGTTGAACAAGCTCAGCTTTGCAGCTAAAGGCTTTCCCACAGTCCCTGCACTGATGAGGCATTTCTCCAGTGTGGACCCTTCTGTGTCTAATGAGGTTGAAGATTTGTCTAAAGGACTTCCCACATTCATAGCACTCATAAGGTCTTTCTCCAGTATGAATTCTGTGGTGTCTAAAGAGGCTGGAGTTTTGCCTGAAGGATTTCCCACACTGATCACACTGGTAAGGCCTCTCCCCTGTGTGGATTCTCTGGTGTTCGGTGAGGTTGGATTTGTAGGTGAAGGATTTTCTACATTCCACACACTCATACGGGACTCTAGTACCGTGCTGTCTCTCATGGTAAATGAGTTCAGATTTATAGACAAAGGCTTTTCCACACTCAGTACATTTATAGGGTCTTTCTTGGGGACGATTTCTATCATGTGCAGCGAGGCGACGCTTTTTGCTAAAGGACTTTTCAAGCTGAGCATGCTCATATATCCTTTGTCCCGTGTGACTGTCCTGGTGCTGAGCAAGTTTGTACTTGCAGGAGAAGGTCTTCTCATACTTGCTACACTCATGAGGCCTTTCTGCAGGGGAGGCACTCTGACGCTGCACAAGTGTGTGTTTGTGGCTTGAACCTTTTTGGCCTTCACCGTACCTAAGTTTTTCTCCACTCGAAAGTGCTTCCCCACATTTAGTGCTACTGTGAGACTGTTCACTACTACAAGCGGCCTGCTGCTGAAGAAAGCCTGCAGAGGCAAGGGCCTTCTCCCCATCCATCCCAAAGATGAATGGCTTCACCAATGCATGGGGTCTGCAGCTTGACATAAATGAAGTCCTGTCAGCATCCCCTTCACAGGGCTTTTCTATAGAGTAACTCTTCTGGCACAGGTTAATGTCTTCATTCAAACCAGAGCTTTCCACACATGTTCTGGCCAAGTACAATGTCTGCATAGTGTGTGTGCTTGGGAATTCAGCCTGGCACAAAACATCTTCCAAAGCTGGGACAGGCGTCTCAATGAGATGAGTCTCCTGGGTAGATGGGCTTGCCTCGGTCATCACCCCTTCTGGAGGTGCACCACGCTCAGAAGTTACCTCTTCACCCCCCACTCCAGGACAGGAACCTGAAATCAGAGAAATACATGCTGAAATGCCAATGAAATGATCAGTGGAGAGAGAAAAGCCCATCACAGAGATACGTAAGACACAGAAAACTATGACACAGCTGGAATTAAGATGACTCTGGTACTCTAGGCACTTGGGAATCCAAGGCAAGATGTTGAGGGCTTGTAAGTTTGAGGCTAGCTTATGCTACACAGCCAAGAGCTTATCACACCCCCCACCCCCTCACCCACACCCTCAAAAACAAGAAGAAACAATGAAACCACCGGACTGTTCTAAGAACAAAACGGCTCCAGAAAGACTGAGGGAGCTGTATGCATGAAAGGAGGAACAGGGTCTCCATGCAATTCCTCAGGTAATAGCATTTAGCAGGACCTTTTCTATTGGGATGTGTCGATACTGAGCAAAAGCAATGAAACTAAGTAGGTAGTGATCAAGGGTTAATTAAAGCTATGTAAGTCCCTCACAGAACCATCTGTCAACACTAAGAACCCAATGGCATCAAGATAGCCAAGAGCCAGAAGGCACAGGTGAGAAATCACAAGTTGGCAAAGTATTAAACATGGAGAAGTAAAAGATAGAAATAAGGCATGCTGGGTAACTCCTTTATTCAAACACTGTGGGGCACTTTATTGGTTCCTGATATGATGGGAACATGCCTTTCCCTGGGTGCGTATTACCAGGTCAGGTCTCCTCTAAGACAATCTTGTCTCATGTCAACTCTATGAGGCAACCAAGACCCGCCCCCCCCCCCATCCCGCAGCCCTAACCACATGAGAAATAAAAATTACAAATATTAAAAAAGAGAGAAGAGAAAAAAAAAGAAAAGAAAAAGCAAATGAGTGACCAGGACTAATTCACAGCAACTTAACATAAAATAGTGTATGAGAAGAAAACAGAACTCAACACTTAACGGTTCTTCAAGAACAGCCCACGGTTCATTTAAAATAAACATAACAACCTTGGCAATTTCTCACAAAGGCAGTCATAAAGAAATTACGACTAAACCTGGTGCATGCTTTCAATTCCAGTTTAACTGGAAGGCAGAAGCAGGCAGATCTCTATGAGGAGTTTAAGGTCAGCTGGATCTGCATAGTGAGTTCTAGTATACGCAGAACTATAAAGAGAGAACCTGTCTCGGAAGGGAGGGAGGGAGGGAAAGAAACAGAAAGGAAAGAAATGACAACTACAGGGATCAGGTGAGAACCAAGGCATAGGAGCTAAAGCTGTGAACAGTCACCCTAATAGGGAGACATTTTGAGACTTGTTATGACTCCAGAGACAGCAGTCACTCTCAGGTAAAAAAATAACGGTATTAACCACTGAGGACACTGGGTGGGGATGCAAGGACCTTACCCAGAGACGCCACAAGTGCAAGGTTCTCCAGCATCACAGTGCAGTACAGGAACCTCTGGGCCTTATCAAGGAGCATCCACTCTTCCTGGGAGAAGTGAATGGCCACATCCTCAAAGGTCACATGCTATCACAGTGGGAACAGTTCATCATACGATCAGCTTCTCCTCCAGAATTCCACGTACACCCAGTTGACCCAATATACATCACTCACTTACTACGTTTCCCATTGCATACCATCCCAATGCCACTGCTGCCCAGTGTCTGCTCACTGATTATCACACCCTTCCACAGAAACATGGGGAGATGAAGGGAGAGCTGAAATCTAACCTCGAGGTCTAGGAGGAAGGCCACTACTCCCTCTTGTCAATGCTGTGGCTGCCACAGATACTGCTTTGCAAGATAAATGGTCATAGAGAAGATAGATAAATTTGGTTTTGTCAGACAATACGCCCGAGGACCCCAAAAGTCCTCCAGACACGAGGAACATGGGCTTCCTCTTTATCCCATGACTCTTTGCGGCTCCTGGGCCAACCAGTTCATTCTACCTCTGCATACAGCACTCTCTCTGTGTGTGTACATGTGTACATATATACACAAGTGTACATTCATTTGTATGCATTCAATGTGGGGTGTCACATCCAATTACTCTCTTCCTTATGTTTTGAGACAAGTCTCCTCACTGAACCTGGAACTCAGCAGCTCAACCAGACTGGCTAGCCAATGAACTCAAGAGATCTGCCTGTTTCTGTTCCCCATCCTCAGTCCCAGCGCCCTCCTACCCCACAGGCCCACCCAGCACACGAACACTCTATATGGGTGCTGGAAATCTGAACTCAGCTCCTTGGGCATTAAAAGCGCCATCTGTAAGGAGACCTGATGGCCTCTTCTGACATGCATGGAGACAGTACACTGTATACATAATAAGTAAATAAATCTTAAAAAAAACAAAAAAAGGAAGCTACGTTACCCTGTGAGCTACCTCCCCAGTGCCATACCCAGCACTTTGAATCATATTTTTCCTGTATGATCATAGTCCCATAGCTACAACCTTGAATATCATATAGTCCTGTATGAAGACACCAAGGTAACATACATCTCCCACGAGGGAATATCAGGCCTCGGTACCACTTACTCCAAGTCTCTCTCAGTCTCAATGATCACTGACTACCCAGTCACGGCACCAACATGTAAGAGGACAATAAATACCATCTAACTCCGGCCCTGACCTACAGAGCTGCATGCCTTACTTACACAGAACTGACCTTCAGTTCTCCAAATCCTTCGTCCTGTATACAACCAAACAAGGATTTGTAACCTTCATTCCTATGCCCTCAATGTGGACTTTGGGGCTATCAGTTTACATTTCCATTCCAAGTGCATAGGACTCTATCCCACTCACCTCCCTATCCCTGCTCACATGCAAACACAGCTAAACACGGAGTGCAGCTCCTGGGCCTACCGGTGACTCAGCACGTGGGATCCAGAGAGTCCTTAGGAAATTCAAACAACACCCAACACACACCCCCAAACCTCTCACAGGCCCTACTACAAAGCAGTCCCAATCCTGTTATGAAGACATCCTACTTTATGCTATTCCTTGGTTCAAACCTACCCACCAACCATCACTGGTAAAGCCAGGTATGTTGACTCATGCCTATAATGCCAGCACTTGGGAGACTGGGGCAGAAAGATTGCCACAAGTTCAAAGCCAACTTGGGCTACATAGGGACATGGTAGGCTCCCTTCCGCCCACGCTCATTCAAACAGTAAAGATTTCTGAAGAAACCAGGCCAGCTATGATGCCTGGGAAAGGCACTACAACCTGTCATGCTACCTGCAAGTTGTGCAGCGTGCTCCAGGGTTGCAGCCTCCACGAGTCATCAACCCACGCCGGGGTGGCCTTCTCTTGACACAGCTAGTCACTGAATCATTTCTACTCCTGTAAGTAACCCCTGACCCACATTCCTGTAAGTAACCCTAATAAATCTCACTGGTTCACTAAGTTGGACTTTGGTGGCATCCTTACTTTTTTGGTCTGTCCTCGGTTCCCTACCTGGGATGTATACACATTTGTTTAGGTCACCACAGGATCAGTGTCAACACAGCACTGTCTAGCTCCCTTATTCCATTTCTCATGAGGCAGCCACAGCGAGCCTGAGGAGAATGGGTTGGCTGGCCAGCTTCCTTCACACCCAAATCTCCCATCTCCATAGTCGCATACAAAGTACACATTCTGGGTTTTGTTTTGTTTTGTTTGTTTGTTTTCCAGAGATATATTCCGTGTTTGTCTGCTGTACCCCACTGATCCCTATGGGGAGGAGAAAGCAGATCGGAACATGCCGGAACTAATTCAATCCACCCTTCAGGCTGAGGCACATACAGGTGAGAGAAACAACCTCCAACAATTTCACACAACCCTCGGCCTACACACAAAACTCTGGATTGTGTACCTAACCTGTTCAAGACTGCAAGACCCACGGCTATCCTGGGGAGCAGTGACAACAGACCGGGGACACTGCTAACCTAAAAACTGTATAGGTAGGATGAGGGTAATGGCGGGTTCCACTTACCAGGCCTGGACCCATAACCGGTTCCGAAGACAAGAGAACCTAAAAAAGGGAAGGAGGCTGTGAGAATCTGGCACCCACAGGCAGGTTTCACAGGCTCCAGTCACTCAGTGCCCCTGCCCACCCTGGGCCTAGCCGGCCTGGGATGGCTGCAGACTGTCTATGCTGTGGTGCTCAGTGCTGAATCTCAGTTGTGAGAGGTGACATCTGTGACAAACGCTCTACTCTCTTTTAGCATGTCTCTTCCAATCTGTTCTTCCTCTGAGTCACTTCTGGAAATATTTACAATTCTATTTCCGTACGTGGTCACTGTCCACAATTCTCACTGGCTCTAGTGTCCTAAGAATTCAATTCGAATCCCTCAGGTCCAACGCAGCAGCCTCACAACTGTTTCCGCAGACACTTGGGACACTAGGACACTCCCGTGTCTTTTGTGCCCAGCCTCCCCTAACGGGCCTTTGCCCACTGCAACGTTCACAGATCCCTGGATACAGCTGCCTACGAAGGGGCGCCCCCCACCCCACCCACAGCATCTTCTGCCCGGGACATCAGCTCCGAACTGCACGGTCACGCTGGGGCCTCTCCCCTTGCTCTAGCTCTCCGGTGAGACCCGCAGCACGCAGCAGCAGCACTTACCCGTGCCGGGTCCCTGTATGGGGACACAGCCATCGGTCCGGGTCGCAGGAGTCTCCAGCCCCGCCTGGTGCGGGTCACGTGGGCGGAGTCACTGGGCCGCAGCGGGGCCTCCTTACCGCAGGGCAGCTCAGCTCGCTCCGCTCCGCCCGCCGGCGGAACCGCTCACCTGGCCCCAGCTTCCAGCTAGATCAACAAAGCCCAGAAACGCCAAGGCAAAACAAAAAAAGCCAAGGGGAGGACCACGCCGGAAGTCCAGCTCCAGGAACTAACCACACAGGGCTCACACCCACTCGCCTCCCAAAAATCAAAATAAAAATAAATGGCGAATTGTCATTGGCTCAACTCGGCCCCCAACATCTCGCGTGCATATTGCATCCCGGGAAATGTAGTTTCCACAGCTTCCCGGGCAGGTATCCTACCCTTTCATCTTGACCCCGCGTGGACTTAATTTACAAGAAAACAGGCATGCTGCTGGGAGTTGGTGACTACAGCTTGGAGAGAAGGGAGAGATACTTAAATGAAGCTCTTCTTGGATTTCTGGGGTCTGTTGTAAGGCTGGTCATCTCTATGGTTGGTAATGTTTCAGAAAACATGAAGCTCATTGGGCATCAAGAGGCTAAAAAGGAAAAAGATTCAACTTACATATTCCATAGAGTAAGAGTAATTTAGTCTGTGTGTGTGTGTGTGTGTGTGTGTGTGTGTACTACAATGAACATTTTCTTATTCAAAAGCATTAGTGACAAAACTTACAACTGTATGTTCAGAAAAAAACAAAAACAAACAAACAAAAAAAAAACCCACTATGTCAATTGAGCACATGATGTGGAAGATAAAGAGGGATGTTTAGACTTCCCTAGAGCAGAAGCTGAGGGGACAACTTTGCCTCCTGTTCTCTCAGACAGAGGCTCTCCTGCCTATTTTTCAGTGATTGTATACAATGCACACAGTCTATGCTGACTTTTTTCATTTCATATTTCTTGCTCAACATCCAAAGAAACAGTTCTGCCTTGAGAAGTTACATACCCACTGTATCTACCATTACCCCCAATACAATTATGTCAGGAAATTGGGGTTTGGGGGTGGAGATGGCTCATCAGAGAAGAGCATCGACTGCTCTTACAGAGTAACCAGGTTCAATTCCAAGTGCCCACGTGATGACTCGCAACTCTCTGATACTCCGGTTCCAGAGGGTCTGATTCCTTCTTCTGACCTCTGCAGGCACCAGGCCTACAAAACGATTCACAGACATCCATACCCATAAAATTAAAAATAAAAAATAAATTGGAATCCATTATCAGATGTGGCCTGGTAGATATTCCTAATTAAATAATTCATAAGGCTTTGCTTATGCAATTTAAATCTTAGTTTTATAAAGTATAGTGCAATAATTGTTACAATATTTGTCCTTGGGGCCTGGGGAGATAATTCAACAAAGTTAAGGGCGCTGGTTGCTCTGGCAGAAGACTGGGTTCAGTTTCCAGTACCCAAATGGCAGTTCACAACCATTTGTAACTGAAGTCCCAAGGGAAAGAACACCTTCCCTGGTTTCCTCGGGCACCTGCACATACATGGTACACATACATACATGCATGCAGGAAAACACTCCTTTCACGGATTTTGTTTTTAAGAATCCTGGGACTTTAGTTCTCTGAGAGTTTGGTTTAGTATTTCAGATCCACTGTCCCAGTTTCCAGGGCATCTTGAGTACATTGGCAGTGTCTATAAAACCTAATGGCTGTTTTCTTAGCCTGCTTTGCACAGATAGAGGTGTGTTCATTTACACAGTGACACTTCACCAGCCATCTGAAGCCTGGACTCAGATGTAGCAATACAGACAGGCCTTCCCTTCTTCTTTGACCAGCCAACGGCAAAGTTCCTGTCCAAGGCTCCAGTCAGACTCTTAGTCTCTTAAATGGAGATCTTATCGCTAATTCCAGATTATGGTCAAACACTGAGGGGAATTCAAAGCATGAGCCTGAAAGAGCTAATCACATCCATAGTCAAGAGTAAAGAGAGAATGAATGCATCCATGCTTCAAAAATACTATAAGGATTCAGGCATTATGCTGGCCCTGCCCCTTGACAATGGACAGGATATGCACACTGCCGTGCAGGTAGATATTAGACAGCTCAAAGGGCCCAGTGTTATGTGGTTACGTCATGCGTTATGTGGCTGTGTAAGGAATCTGTAGGCATCTGCAAGCTTTCCCTTTTAAGCCGGTGCCTCCCATCTGTTCGCCCCTTCTTTCCCTTACCCCTTCCCCTTCCATCTCTGTTCTTGGTTGGTCAACACCTACTCCTCCCTTTCCCCAATAAACTCCACGTGGGTTTTGTTGAGTTTTGTGGTTCGTGTTTCATTGCCCACAACTTCAGCGAAACAACAACAAATACACTATTTGTTCAGAATATTTTTGACCCCACCCCACCCCACTGTTCTTCTCTTGGCCTGCCCCCAGAATATTCTTATGAGCCATAAAATCTTAAGAAACACCCACAGGAAAACAAGAGACTTTCCTGGTATCTCCAATCTTGGAGATTTTTCTGCATTGCACAGTACAACTTTTTCTGAACCTCTCCACAGAAGAAATTCTGTCAGGTAGATGGGGTTATCTTTAATAAATTATTGTACAGTGTTTACTTTTAGACCTATATTATTCTGCCCATTAAATGTGAAATTACAAGTTCCTTGAACAAAACCAGGCATATATTTGTCCTTTGAAAATTGCCAAATTATGATGTTAGTAACTGACTGTCCTAAAGAAGACAGATTCAGGGGCCAGAGAAATGGCTCAGTGGTTAACAGCACTTGCTACTCTTACAGAAGACAGAGGCTCAGTTCCCAGCACCAACAAACACATATAACACCAGTTGAAGGGAAGAATGGACTGTACTAGACTTTGTAGGCACCAGGCATGCTTGTGAGGCACTTTCTTATATGCATGTGAGAAACACATACATACACAAATACATGCATGTATACACATACATAAAGCTTAACCAAAATCAAAAAACAAAACAAACCACAAAACAGATTCTAGCACTGTGATAAGATTAAGACAAGCAACATTTTCAGTGGGGATATCTGCACATTCATTACATCATGTGCTCTATGAGGAGGATTTCCCACAGCAGCTCTCAGCGGAGAAAATTGGTGCATCTTATATCTATCTTCATCATGATACATGCTTAGCATTTTAGTCTCTGCTGAGGACATGGACATTTTTTCTCACTTAAGAATTTTCCTTTAAAAATTTTTGGATAATTTCATACTTAGGTACTGTACTTATAGTATTTCCGTATCTCCCCATCCTCTCCCTATCTCTATCTTCCAAATGTATGACTTCTTTAATTATTATTGCTATATGTATGCATATGTTTGAATGTGATTGCATGTGTATGTATGTGAGTGTGTTCAAAGACAAGTTAGTGGCAGTTTCTCTTCTGTTGAGAGCACAATGCTTATAGATATCATTTTCTGGATATGTCCCCATGAGGTAAAGTCATATTCTAATTCATATTCTCTTTTATAGGGGTAATTATCCTGTACTTTATGATTATTACTCGGGAAGGACACACTGAAGTCACAGCAGTATTATCATGGGATTGTAGAGATAGTGAAATATTTCTCTAGTAACCTAGTGGTGTTCTAAGGTACCCAACATGGGTAGTATTATTCATGTGCTTGGGTGATGTTGGCACAAAACCCACTAACAGGTAAATAAAATATGCAATGATGCATCTTGTATATGACAGTTAATATGTGATTGTGATAAGAAATTACTATTTTGCTTGTTTTTACATTGACTGTTCTTTCATTATGATTTGAATGGATATTCTCATTTGTATAAGAAGTTTATGTAAATCAGCCTGCTGTATTTCACCAACAGAAGCTGAATACACAGTGTCTTTAATCAAATCCAAAGGCCATATTGAGTGAGTAACCTATTCTTTTTTGGCACACTACCATATTCACAGAGGGATGAAATTATCAAATAATGCATTTCTTACAAAACATCTCCATCATTAAACTGGAGATTACATTCCAACACATGCATTTTGAGAGGGCAGAAACAATCAGATAATATCAATGGATATTTAGTTAGAACTTGCATATGTGGGTTAATAGGATCTTTATTCATCATAGTCGATAGATGGAGATAAATCATTAAGTACTCATACATGTGGAAATGTATCTGATTCACACAAACATTCTATCAGCTGAAAGTAACCACATACAAAAGGCGACATATATGATTCCATTTTAACAAAATATCCAGACTAACAAAATCCACAGAGACTAAGGAGTAGAGTAGTGTTTTCTGAGTCAGTGGGGAGAGTGAAATGACTCCTTTCATGATAATGGGAAAGCTTTTTTGTTTTTAAACAATCTTATTTTACATACCAATCCCATTCTTCCACCTCCCACCACCACTTCCCTACCCCCCCATCTACTCCTCAGAGAGGGTGAGACCTCCCATAGGGAATCACCAAAGTCTGTCACATCTTTTGGGGGCAGGCACTAAGCCACCACTCCCCACCCCCATCCCCGTGTATCTAGGCTGAGCAAGGGATCCCTCCATAGGGAATGGGCTCCAAAAATCCAGTTCATGAACTAGGGATACACACTGGTTTCACTGCCAACAGCAGTCCCATAAACTGCCCAAACCCCCCAACTGACACTCACATTCAGAGGGCCTCCTTCAGTCTTATGCAGGTGCCCCAGTTATCAGTCTGGAGTCTGTGAGCTCCCACTTGCTTGAAGTCAGCTGTTTCTGTGGGTTTTTCCAACATGGTCTTGACCCCTTTGCTCTTATTATTGATCCCCCCTCTCTACCACTGGACTCCAGGAGTTCAGCTAGCAAGCTTTTAAATATAAACCTTATTAAGTTTTATGTGAAATATCTGCTGGTCAAAGAGCTGCCTCATTGCCATCCAGTTTTTTCTTTGTACAGGATCCCTCCATTGTCCACTCACCACCCCACAAACCTGACACAAATCTTTCTTGTAAAACACTGTCCTACAGCATAATATTGAATGGGTTTTTATTTGTTGCTGCCCATCTTTCTTGACTATAACTGTCTTAGTTAGGATATCTATTGCTGCAATGAAACAATTTGACTAAAAAACCAAGTTGGGGAGGAAAGGGTTTATTTATTTGGCTTACACTACCAGATTACGGTCCATCAGTGGAGGAAGTCAGGACAGGATGAAACAGGGCAGGGATCTGGAGGCAGAAGCTGATGCAGAGGCTGATGGAGGAGTACTGCTTACTGGCTTGCTTCCCATGGCTTGCTCAGC